CCCCTGCTGAGACGGCCCCCTCCTTTACTCTGGAATCATGCACGTCACACTGCTTCTTTCGAGACTGTACTGCACTCACACCGCCTCTTGCATTGGTTTCTGTCTCCCTTGCTGACTCGCCAGCCGCGATCGTTGCTCGCAGTACCACGACTCTCCGCTGTCCAACTGTCTTGTCTAGCTCCCTTACCGGCTTGGTTATCTCCACGTTTTCCATGAAATTGGTTGGTGTCGGCCAAATCCAGGACCCTGGCATCACCACTACGTTCCCGGGATACAAGCGATATGCACCTTGTATGGACACGGCTGTCTTGCCACCATTAACCACAAACCTGTGTCTGATCTCTTCACATTGCACACAGAGTCTCCCCAGGTAGCTGTGACCATCCAGATGTCGCTCTCACCCACCCGGCACTCCTGTGGCACCACCGCTTGGGTCACCCTATTCTACAACGTCTGCGTCACACGGCACACCACGGTCTAGTCGCTCGTCTCTCCGCGTCGCTCCCTTCCCTCCCCAGCATGCACCTCTTACGTCGAGGGCTTGCAGCACACCGCCCCTCACTCCTCGTTTTTTCCCACCATTGCTCCCCAATAGACTGCGCACATGGACCTCTAAGGCCCCGCTCCGGTCCAGGGACCTCGCGGAGAGCGCTACTTCCTGATTGTCATTGACAACTTCCGGTTCACCACAGTTTTCTCGTTGGAGCGGAAGGCCGATGTGCCTGACGCCCTCCTCCCGTAGCTCCATGCCGTCCACGCCCGGCGCTCCCTACCTGTGCTCTGTCTTCACTCCGACCGTGGTGGCGAGTTCATGTCAGGTCGTCTAGATCAGTTTTATTGTGCGAAGGGCATCACCCAGACGTTCACCCTTCGAGACTCGCCGCAGCAGAATGGGATAGCTGAGTGATGCATCGGCTTCGTCATGGAGGTGGCCCACATCTCCATGGTCCATGCCGGTGCCCCCCATTTTCTGTGGTCGTGCGCTACGTGGCTCACCAGCTTAACCTGTAGTCACGCTTCTCGTAGCCACAATTCTTGGTGGCCCTCCTCTGGACTGCATCTTCCAGTGACACGTCTGGGGCTACCTGGCTCACGACTGCGCCCCCGGCGCGGACAAGCTCTTAGCCTGCACCGTCCCTGATGTCTTCCTCGGTTTCCCGCTTGACGCTCTTGACTGGCATTTCTACCACCTGGGACAACACCGCTTCTTTCACTCTTGTGGCGTTATGTTTGACGAGTCTGTCTCCTTTTACGCTTACTTCCCTCACCGTGGCACTTGTATTCCTCCTTCACCGCTCTTTCTCACTCCTGCACCACCTGTCGCTCCCCTCCCACCCCGCCCGGCCCTATCTAGTGTCTCTCACGTCACTCCCCTCCCCTTGGTTGGGCATGTGGAGGATTCTGCTAACAATGGAGACCCCATGGCTGGGGGTGCACCTGCCATAGTTGCGATGCCCCTCCCCCCAGCCCCGGTGCCCAAGGCACCACAGCAGCCTCCCCCGCTGCCGCAGCAGCAACAACAGTAGCAGCAGCAGCAGTAGTGGCCGGGGATTGTGGACAATGGGGGTGCTTGTCCTGAGGGTGGTGACTTTGGGGGTGTTGTTTTTGGGGGTGCTCGGTTTGGGGGTGCTATTCTAGGGGGTGCTGGCTCTAAGAGTCCAGGCGGTAGCAGTAGTAGAGCTGGGGGTTCTGGCGTGGGCCGAGATTAGAACCAGCCGCAGCCACAGTCTGCCCTTTGTCTCATTGGCCTTTCCTCTAGTTCCCTTGATCGTTCGCTCGTCCCTCCTGCCGCATCTCCCCTCCAACCTGATCCTGTATACGTTTTCCCCCTCGCTCTCCTCCATCCCCTGTCCTGTCCCCCATTGCCCCCCTACCCCACTGGGTGCGTCGTCCCCCTAATGGTCGTCCTGTGTCTCCTCATGCTCGTGTCCACCCCATGCTTCTTCGTTCTCGTGCTCCTTCAGTCCCCGTCCTAATGCTCCCTCCCCAGTAGTCCCTCCCCCTGTCCTTTGCTCGTCCCTTTGACTCTACTCGCAATGCTCATCCAGTCGTCTCCCGCTTGCTTGCGTCGCTTATCATTGACCCTACTGCTCTTCCTGAGAGTGTCTCTACCCTAGTCATTGCTGTCAATGACTTTGTCCCTAGCCATCGCCTTGACTACGCTTCTACTTTGGTCTCTGACCCTACCTGTCCTCCGTCCGTCGCGGGTGCATCTGCCCTTGGCAGTTGTTACGATTAAAGACAGAGTCTAGGTGTACTGAGGAGCTATAATTACGCATAATATAAATCCGAGCATGTGGACAAGAATGTCGTCCCCACAAGAAACGTCGGCGACGAAAAACTAACAGTTGGAATTTAGCAAAACTCGATATGTTTTAGCTCTTAATCTCACCCATGGTTCCCAATTTGAGTCATGACGATTAATGGAGTATCCGCGATGCTACGGCTTTCGACGCACAGTGGGGTAAGCTGTAGGAGAACTTAACTCAATCTCACAAGGAATAAGAGGAGCAAGAAAGACGTTGGAAGGGAAGAGAGGGATGAGGAGAAGGTCCCAATAGAGTCCCCAACCAAGGAAACCCCAAAAGCACAAAGATTCCCTCCTGATAGGAACCCCAACTTTGACCTTTCTCCCTTCCCAACCAATCCAACCAAGTAGGCCACGAGTTCGCCGGCCCCCTCGCTCGCTAGCCCCGCGCTCATTGGCCCTGTGCTCACTGGCCCTGCGCTCGCCGGCCCCGCGCATGCTGGCCCCGCGATCGGTGGCCCCGCGCTTGCCGGCCCTGTTCTCGCTGGCCCCACGCATGCCAGCCCCTCGCTCGGCGGCCCCTAGCTCACCGGCCCCCAGATCCGCTGTCTCCAGCTCTGCTGGCCCCAGCTCCCCCGGCCCCAGCTTCGGCAGCCCCAGCTTCATTGGCCCTTGCCCGCGTTGCCTTTACGCCGTCGAGCCGCAGTGCCATCATGCTTCTGAGTTGCCGCGCCGCTGGGCCGCAATGCCCCCATGACGCCGTGACGTTGTGTCGCTGAGCCGCCGAGCCGCTCTGCTGCCCCGACTTTCTAACCTTGGCTCCCCTCTTAGCCGGCGCTCCAGCCGGCTGTCTCCACCAATCTACACCGCACTCCACCACGCTGCACCGTACTCCACCGCTCTCAACCAAAATCCATCGCTCTCCACTGCTCTCCGCCGCGTTCCTCCCCCCTCCAGCGGCAGGTAGCTGCACAAACCGTGGTGATGGCGGAGTCTGTTTTCTGCCTGGACGCGGAGGGTTGGGTAATTGATTTTGAGGCGTGGCTCATTGACATTTGTCACCAGCTGACCGGTCAGAGCTTGGACGGCTTCTCCCTGGCCGTCCATGTCGACGGTAAGCTCCCCTGCCCCGCCTTGCCTGCTGCCTTCCCTGACGCCCCCATGGTTGCTGAGCGTGAGGCCTTTGCCACTGCTGAGCTTGCCCACGCTGTCTGGGAGTCATGCGACGCAGTGGCACAGCTTGCCATCAATTACGCCCTCCCCCTGTCTGAGCGTCCCCGCTTTCCCGCTGTGACAAATGCGAAGGAGTACTTAGATGTGGTCATTGCGCGCTATTCCACTCCCTCCTCCGCCTCTGCTGGCCGTCTAATCCTTCCCATGCTATTCCCTGATCTTGCGTCCTTCCCCACTATCGCTGAGCTTGCCACCCATCTCCGTGCGCTTGAGACTAGCTACCGCGCTGCTAGCAGTGAGGCACTGCTCACTGCATTCCCCCCGCCGCTTTGCGCTACCCTTTAATTCATTGCCACACACCTCCCTGACTGCCTTGCCACTTCCAACGACCATTTTCTTAGTCAGCACCCAGGTGACCTCACCCTTACCGCCTTTGTCCGCGATAGAGACCCGCCAGTGCACTATCGCTCAATCTAACGGTATTGCGGCGGTCCCTATCTTCCAGGGCTGTGCTTCCTCCCAGTGCGCTTGCTCTGACATTTCTGCCGCTGTCGCTAAGACAACCCCTGCTGCCCAGACTGCCGCTGTGGCCTCAGCGCAGCCGTGTCAAAGTAAGGGCCGCCACCTCAAGGGGTGGCGTGGTGGAGGGAAGGGTGGCGGGAGTGGTGGGGATGGCGGATGGTGTCCGTATCTTTGAGCTGGATATGGATCAGATTAGGTCTGCTATGTATGTCATGCATGCGGATTGTTAGGATTAAGGACAGAGTCTAGGTGAACTTAGGAGCTAGAATTACTCAAAATATAAATCCGAAATTCTGGACAGAAAAGTCGTCTTCACAAGAAACGACGTCGACAAACAACTAGCCGTTGGAATGTCGCGAAACTTGGATATGTTGTAGCTCTTAATCTCAGCTACCGTTCCCAATTTGAATCATGTTGATTGATAAAGTATTCGCGACGCTATGGCTTTCGACGCACTAGGGGGTAAGCTGTAGGAGGAGAACTTAACTCAATCTCAAAGGTTCAATCAAAGTTCAAGAATCTCACAAGGAATTAGAAGGAGCAAGAGAAAGGTTGGGATAGGAAGAGAGGGATGAGAGGGAAGGTCCCAAGAGAGTCCCCAACCAAGGAAAACCCCATAAGCACAAAGATTCCCTCCCTATAGGAACCCCAACTTTGACATTTGTCCCTTCCCAACCAATCCATCCAAGTTGGCCACCCTTGCCAACCTAGCTTGGTTGTTCCCAACCAATTTGCAGCTGTTACAGTAGAGTGACAAGTTTCCCCAACCCCAAAGGTCCCAACTCCATATAAAGTCACCCCACAACTTCACTTAGTAACCGCCGCAATTGTAACGCAAGCTCATGAACTTTGAATCTTCATAGCTTTCGCGTTCTTGCTCCGATTGAAGCGATTCTTGTTGCGTCGGAAAGATCTTCTCAAGATCTATTATCACAAATACCTGCTCAGACAGAATAACACAAAACACATTCCCAAACTCCAGAACACACCACACACAAATGCTTGCACATTCAAACCACACATGCAAGTTGAAAAAACATGGGATGGGAGGCAGACAGAATGTGATAGCATATGATGACATCACACAACAATCTCCCCCTCTGGCTGCCAACCATCATCGACCATACCACATCTCAAGCATGCATACTCAATGCACACTCATCCCAGCAAGCTTCATGCCCTTCCAATGATCCGCCTCCGCCAGACGCTTGGTGAAAATATCTGCTGCCTGCTGATGGGTCTTCACTATCTCCAGCCGCACCTCCTTATCAAGGAGTCTCCTCACCCAATGCCACTTAGGCCTTATGTGTTTTGTCAGCCCATGCAGACAAGCATTCTTGGCGAGCTTCACAGCGGACTCATTGTCACAAAACACAACTGTCGGCTTCTCCTGACCAACTCCCAACTCCTCCAACAAACGCCTTAGCCACACTACTTCCTTGGCCCCATGGTGTAAGGCCATGTACTCAGTCTCACATGAGGACAATCCCACCTCATTCTGCTTCTTGCTGCGCCAGCTCACAGCACCACCTCCTAGCAAGCACACATAACCCCCAATGCTGGTGCCATCCGCTTTCACTGAGTTGAAGCTAGCGTCAGTATAGCAACTCAAGAGCATCTCTCCACTCTTCACATCTGCAGCACCTCTCTGCAACCGCTGCCTCACTCCACTGTACTCCAATCCCACTGATGCCGTAGCGCTCACATAGCGGACCAACCTCTTGGCCGCTTCCAGCTGCTCATGACTAGGGCGTGAGACCACACTAGCCAATCGTGATGTAGCAAATGCAATGTCAGGCCGTGTATGATTTGCAGCATAATTCAGCGACCCAACCATCGAATGAAACAGCTTCCTGTCACTATCACCCACTACCTCCTCATCAGCACATGGCTCCACAGTAAACCCTGAAGGTAGTGGTGTTGCTGGCTTTCCCCCATCTTGCAGCCCATACTTCTCAGCCAGCCCCTCACAGTACTTCCTCTGGTGCAACCTCAGCACACCCTTTTCCACATCTCTCTCCACGTGCATCCCCAAGTAGTACTTCGCCTCACCCATCTTGGAGCACTTAATGTCCTTAATATTGCTCTGATACCACTTGTTAGGATGAAGGACAGAGTCTAGGTGAACTTAGGAGCTAGAATTACTCAAAATATAAATCCGAAATTCTGGACAGAAAAGTCGTCTTCACAAGAAACGACGTCGACAAACAACTAGCCGTTGGAATGTCGCGAAACTTGGATATGTTGTAGCTCTTAATCTCAGCTACCGTTCCCAATTTGAATCATGTTGATTGATAAAGTATTCGCGACGCTATGGCTTTCGACGCACTAGGGGGTAAGCTGTAGGAGGAGAACTTAACTCAATCTCAAAGGTTCAATCAAAGTTCAAGAATCTCACAAGGAATTAGAAGGAGCAAGAGAAAGGTTGGGATAGGAAGAGAGGGATGAGAGGGAAGGTCCCAAGAGAGTCCCCAACCAAGGAAAACCCCATAAGCACAAAGATTCCCTCCCTATAGGAACCCCAACTTTGACATTTGTCCCTTCCCAACCAATCCATCCAAGTTGGCCACCCTTGCCAACCTAGCTTGGTTGTTCCCAACCAATTTGCAGCTGTTACAGTAGAGTGACAAGTTTCCCCAACCCCAAAGGTCCCAACTCCATATAAAGTCACCCCACAACTTCACTTAGTAACCGCCGCAATTGTAACGCAAGCTCATGAACTTTGAATCTTCATAGCTTTCGCGTTCTTGCTCCGATTGAAGCGATTCTTGTTGCGTCGGAAAGATCTTCTCAAGATCTATTATCACAAATACCTGCTCAGACAGAATAACACAAAACACATTCCCAAACTCCAGAACACACCACACACAAATGCTTGCACATTCAAACCACACATGCAAGTTGAAAAAACATGGGATGGGAGGCAGACAGAATGTGATAGCATATGATGACATCACACAACACGGATGACTCTAGTGTGACTAGACCTTATAACCATGTGTTGCCTAGTGTAGGTGTGCCCCCTGTGTGTAGTCTAGGCTCCCCTTCTGCGTCAGGAGTAGGACCACCTGCCTTGTTTAGCCTCTGCTCGACTCTAGCTCCTCCGCCTGTGGACGCTACCGCTGCGCTCTCTTTCATGCTCGACTCTGGTGCGTCTACTTGCTTCTTTCGCGACCACTCTGCGCTCACGCCGCTTGCTGCCCCTACCGCTCTAGTGCTTATTCACCCCTCCTCAGGTCTGGCAATTGCACGTAGCTCCACTACCCTTCCCTGTCCGGCGGTTCCCTCGTGCTCTCTTACAAGCTTGCCCATCCCCTCGTTCTCCAGAAACCTAGTTGGTGTCGGCTGTCTTCAGGACCTCGGCATCACCACTATGTTCCCCGAACATGAGCGGTACATGGTCTGCACCAAGGCCACCAATAGTGCCCTTCTCACCATGTTCCCCCAGGACCTGGTGTCTGGCCTGTTCCCCCTAGACACCGCGTCCCCCTCGGTGGGAGCGTCCTCCCAGGTCGTCGCACCCTCCCAGGTTGCTATGGCTTGCTCGTGTTGGTCGCTCACCCACCCGTCGCTGCTGTGGCACCACTGCTTAGGTCACACCATACTCACCCATCTGCATCACATGTCCCATTACGGTCTTGTCTCAGGTCTCCCTGCATCACTCCCTCCCCTCGCTTCTTCTCCTGCGCTGCTGTTCATGCCCTGCATCGAAGACTGGCTGCGCCATGCTCGTCACTCCTCCTCTCTTCCCCATACCACTACACCTGGACGTCTAGGGCCCAGCCCCTGTCCCGGGGCCGCATCGAGAGCGTTACTTTCTAGTGCTTGTTGACGACTTGGCCAACTCTGTCATGTGGAGGGCAACTCCCCTTTGTACACCCTGCCGGACTCTCCGCAGCAGAATGGGGTTTCGCCGACCCTCCTCTAGACCGGGTCCCCTGGTGAAGCGTCTGCGATTCACGTCGGGGGCTGCCTTGCTCATGTTCTTGCCTCTGGCATGGACAAGCTTACTGCCTGCACCGTCCCTTGTGTCTTCCTTGGTTTCCCCCTGGACGTGTCTGACTAGCTTTTTTACCACCCGCCGTCTCACCGTCTCTTTCACTCTCATGACATCACTTCTGACGAGTCCGTCTCGTTCTACACCCGCTTTCCCCACTGAGGTCTCCCAGTCACCCTGCCTCTGTTCCTGGTTCCCACTCCCCCAGTAGCCCCTACTTCTCTTCCTCCCCATCTTGCCCTGTCTGGTGTGTCTCACGTCTCTCCCCTCCTGTTGGTTGTCCCGGTAGAGGATTCGGCTTACTCTGGGGGCCATGCAAGTCCATTCTCACTGCCTCTCTCCGCCCAGGTGTCTCCTCTTCCGCCATCGCAGCAGCCGACGCCATCGCCACCGCAGCAGCAGCCGTTGTCGCCGACATTGCAGCCAGCGCAGCAGCCACAGTCGCCGCCGCCGGAGGGGTCCACGAGCTCTCGGGTTGCGGGCGTTGAGGAGGGTGCAAGTCCTGGGGTTACTGATGTGGCTCATCTTGATGGTCCTGGGTGTGGCACCGGCTCTGGAGAGGGTTCTCTTTTTGGGGGTGTTGGCGTGGAGCGTCCCGGAGGTAGCCATGCTGCAGCAGGAGGTTCTAGTGTCAGTACAGAACAACAGCAGCAGCATTCGCCGCCGGTGTCCGCCCTTCCCCTTCTCGGTCTTCCCTCCCCTGACCCACCCGATTGCGCCTCCCCTGCCGCCGCCTCCCCCGCCTATCTATGGCCCATTGTTTCCTCAGTTCCTCTCAGGGTCACTACTTTAGCCTTGGTGCAGGCGCTGTCTCGTGGAGGTCCACCCGCTCATCGTCGGTTGCACAGACTAGCTGCGAGGCTAACATCTACGCTGGTGCCATGGCGGCACAGGAGCTCCGCTGGCTGCCATTCCTACTCATAGACTTAGGTGAGCGGCCTAACTTTGCCCCAGTCTTATACGCTGACAACAGGGCCATGATCCTCTTGTGTCAGGAGCCTCGACTGGAGGGCAGAGCGAAGCACGTCCAGCTGTGGTACTTCCTCCTGCTCGAGAAACAGCAGCATCGACGCCAGGCCCGCGTAGTTCACTTGGCCTCTGGTGCCAACACAGCTGATATCTTTACTAAGGCGTTTGCGCCTAAAGATCATCAGCGGCACTGTGTACGGCTTAGTCTAGTTCCAGTAGCTCCTCACTTGCTAGGACCTTGATTGTGTACTTCTCTTATTATATTCTCCTGACTAACCTTGTGGCTTTTGCTCCAGTGGCTGGAGTACAAGTGCCACCCTAGTTTGCTCGTCTTGTTTGTACTCTTCTGACTGGTCTTCATACCATTGCCTCAGAGGTTGGACTAGTAGTGCCACCCTGAGTTTCGTGTCTCTTGCCAGGCACCACCCCTTGTCTAGCCTAGGGGGTGTGTCAAAATATATTTGTGTATGTTGTAGGCCAGATAGGTGCATGCTCATAGAGGGTACTGCACTATAGCACAAAACCTCTCTGTATGGCACAATCTAGTTCATTCCGTTATTCTAACACTCGGCACCTAATGCCCCCCCTATAGAATTTGTAGGGTTGTTATTTCTACAATGGAAACCTGAGTGGATTTTTTGTTTTACACATTTCTTGAACCCCTTGTACATGCAATGCCCCCTCCTACAGTATCAATGTGGTGGGAAGATAAGGGAAAAAAAAGGTGGGGGTGGGGGGGGGGGGGAGGGGGGTATATCTTATCTCATACAGCTCTAAAAACTGATCTTATAAATGGGAAATCCTAATACAAGACATAGCATCATCTATTCTATGGGGGTCTTATATCCAGGCTTTTAAGGCAGGTTGTGGGGTGTGTGAAAGGACAGACTCTAGCCGTTGGGGACTTAGAGCATGTTCCTACGAGCCTCTTCCCAGGCAACCTCTTCTCTGACTCACGCGCGAGCTTGAGAGCGTGTTTCCAGGACCCTTTTTTGGAATATTCCCGTTTCATAATTCCGTTCCAATGCTCTCAACCACATAAAAATAGCTGGCCTAAAAAAATTACTGTGCACATCTACGCTTGTCCGAAAATATGTTCGTCTGAAAAGAGGTTTTAAATGTTAAATTATATAAATATAATTGTAGGCTTGGTAGGTTTTACTGAATCCTATTGTAGAGAGGACTACCCCCTTTCTTGTATCTCCTTCTCTTCTATTCCAATCACTCTCTTCTCTTGATATTTCCCTCCTAGCACCTAAAACCTCTCGCCATTCCATGGCAGCTCTTCCTAGCTAGCTTATTTTAACATTGTTTCAGAGCAGGAGGTCCGCTCTGCAGGGCCGCCTCCTCACGCTTCTGCTGCGCACTCCTTCCACTCTTGTTACTTCCGCGCCACCGTCGCGGCCGTATCGTGCTGCCATGGCAGCTTCGTCGTGCTGCCAGGGCAGCCTCGATGTGCTTCCGTGGCTTCTATGGCACATCGTGGCGGCTTCATCATGGCGCCGTGCCGCCGTCGTTAGTCAGTGCACGGGCGCCAGTGGGTTGCGCATCGGTTTAGGCAGCAGGTTGCAAGCCCTCACTCCAGCTCGCCGCACCTCCCTAGCGTGTCGTGTCGGACCCAGCTAGCCTCGTCGGACCCAGCTCGCCACATCGGTCCCAGCTCTCCGCTCCGGACCCAGCTCGCCGTGTCGGTCCCAGCTCGCAGCATCGGTCCCAGCTTGCCACGCCAGCTGGCTCCGCCCTGCCGCAGCTCAAGGGTGCCTAGCTCCTTCATTCCCTGCAGTCACCTCTGCTACAAGGAATGGGGGTGCTAGGCTTAGAGGTGTTGCATGTGGGGTGGGCTTATGCAGGCCAAGGTAGCGGCGCAGCTCTCCTAGGACAGTGCAGGTGTGTCTCCTCAGCAGCTCGGCCTTCACGGAGGCCAGCGCATCTCTGTCAGCAGTAGCAAAGACCAGGTCATCTACGTAGACAGGGATGTAGAACGGAGTCCAGCCAGCACGAACGAAGAGCGAGAGGTCTGCAGAGGATGGAAACAACCGCAGGTCAGCTAGTGTAGCACGCAGCATGTCGTGCCAATCACGGGGCGCCTGTCGCACGCCGTAGACCAGGCATCGAAGGAGCCACTAGGTCCCAGAGGGGAAGGTACCGGTGACGCCCTGCGGTCGACGCAGGTAGACCTGCTCATGTAGGCTGCCC